AGGGCTGACTGGAACATGTCCCAATCGGGCAAACAATTAAGATTGGATGAATATATATTGTTCATCGAGTTGGCGAACACGTGCCACACGTGTGAACTTGGGACATCGGGGAAGAAGTCTGTTAGGAATTCAGTTAGGGGTGTAGATACGTGAGGGGTTGAGGGATGGAAAGACGCACCATCGGAGTTTCTAAAGAGGACTGGTGATGCGTCATGAGGGAGCAAAGCGCGAAAGAAGATGTAGGGGACGTGTGCCATACCTGGGGATTAAGTGTTAGTGAATGAAGCCTTGGGGAAGGGACCGTCTCACAGTAGATCACTCGTCTTGAAAAGTATTTAATACTATTCATTTTGAACGCTTCCTGGTATGCTGGGCCTAATGACCGACGTACTGTAGCGTCGTCAAAGTCATCAATTCCGTATTGCGCGTCGCATTTAACGGAGTCGATGCCATTTTTTGAAAGAAAACTGTGCTTACCGAGTCAGCAGAGACGGCGCGAGCGTGATTCTAATGTTTACTCACCCGTAGAAATCGTTGTACATTCGAGCAACGTCTGAGGCATCTACAACACAGATGTCGTTGCCCTTGCGCCACTTAACGTTAATACATTTGTAGTTGGCATCAATCCATCCACCAGGAGCAATCCCGTCCCAATACCCAAACTAGGGGAAGGTTATTATGATTGATCGGGCAGAATTTCATGGGAACGTACTAGAGAATGCCAGACAGCTATGTGTCTGACGCTCTTGAATCGCCTGCGAATTTCGGAAGTTGTATGCCCTAGTCCGCGTGGGAAATTTGAGTTCGCTTCAAATCTATCCCAACGGCTGCCGTCGCGCTAGGAGCAGGGGTTACGTTGAGTTAACATGAAAGGGGAGAAAAGGATATTTAAGGGCTTACCAGTGACTGCCAATTATCATCGATGATGAGGGAGGTAACTATCGGAAAGAGTATCAGTACATAGAAACGGAGAGTATACGCTGTTTCTAACCATATATTGCGTTATCCGCAAGGTCTTGGAGAGCGGAAAGAATTCTTTCTTCGGAAAGCTCTCGACCCAATCCATTCCAGGTACAGTATGCGAGGCCGTCATACCTGCTCTCCGCTTAGAAAAACAATATCGCATGATATTGAACATGGAGCGGTGGCTTACCAGGTTTCATGCCAGGACGGAGTGGGTACTAGGTGTTCTATAGGGCTTGGTGGGGTCAACGACCGGATTAATTCGCGAGCTCTATAGAAAGCTGCATTGACCGCTTCCTGGTATTTCCACCCGATTGCGACAATCGCCCGGTGGTGTTGGAAGTTACCGGCGTCATTTCTAGTCTTTAGGAGCACTTTCCCTGCCTCCGAGCAAACGTATGTGGTGCAATCGTTGATGCCGGAGACAGGGAGAACAACAACGTGGTTGCCATCGGAACGTAGGAATCCAATGAGAAGACCATCGAGATCGATTGTGAAGTGGGAGCTACCTTGGCGAGGCCCCATCCATGGGGAACTCAATTTAACCTAAAGAATCAGAGGCTTGGACCCAGCACCAGAGACGGAACTCACTAATGCGTAATAACGGTCTAGGTCCACGGGAATGCCGAGGGAAGTTGTGCTTGAGCTGTCGGTGATAGGAAGAGCAGGGGCTGTAACATCGAAGAGCCCAACTCCGGGCACTTGACTTTTCGCACACTTTGCGATGACGTTGGAGTCCGGGCCGCCGAAAAGGCATTCGAACTTTGGTAGGCCTGCAGAGGGGTCAAGGAAGATGACTCGACCATCATCAAGGCCAGTCTGCTCCTTGCACCAGATCCATGGCGCGTGCTCCTCAAGTATAGACCTGAGGCGGAGAGTAAACTGGATAGCGTGTGAGTTCTGGTAACTCAGGCGCAGTGAATAATGTGTCCGGGTGATATTTGGAGGGATGGAAGTGGGTAATATTGGCTAAAAAATTAGCAGGGAGAAGTAGCACATCGTAGTCGTCATACCGATTTCAAACTATTAGCGGGAGAGAAGTCGGCGGATTGCCAGACGCCCCCTGGTTCCTGGTACCAGAGCTGAACAATCCAACCAGTTTCACCGTGGCGGGGATCGCGGGATGCCTCCAAGACTGCGAGAAAGTCGATCTGCGCGGTGGTTAGGAACTGCGAGTACTTTTAGGTGTGAAATTATAATTATCCGCTACATACATCCTTTTTTGTATGACTGTACACAGTGGTAGTACCCAATGCTGGGTAAAGGAGAGCATTTAGGTCTGATATTTGAATGAATAATTAGTGCGAAATAAGGGGGGGGAGTATGGATTGGACCAAACCTACACATAGTGCGTATATGGGTCGTTAGAGCAGCAGGGGAGTAAGATGCTAGTGACCCTAGTCAGGGTGTTTTTGAGGAGAGCGATATCTCCCTGCTATGGAGTTCAGTTGGGAGATGAGAAACTTTGGGAACAAGCTCTTGGGGAAGGGTTAAGGGGGTATCAGGTTGGAATGCTAAGGGGCCTTACGGTTACGTTCCGCTCGCGAACGGCCATCTATATGTACTGCGCAGTTTATCTGATCGCGCAAAATTGGCGCGAGGAGAGCCGCACCACAGGGTAATTCTGATACTATGCGGACATGACCAACTCTACTCTGTTCTGCACTTCTGAGACCATCAAAACCATGACCAACTCTGCAATACCCAGTACTTTTGAGACTGATAAGCAAAGATCTATTTTGCTCTACAGCAAATTTTTGATTGCTCCTATTATGAACCAAATTTAAAATAGAAGAACAGTAAAAAATAACGGTGAGAAATAAAACTAGGAAATGAAATAAACAATAATAGGAGATAAATAAAAAATCAGGAATTGAAATTTGAAATAGAGAATAGAATAAGAAAGAAAAGAAACTATATAGTTAAAGATTTTAACTATGCAAATAAGAAAATATCATATAAATAATAATTAAATATATTAGTGTAGGAATAAATAAAAGAATGTAAGAAACAAATTATTGAAAAGTTTGGGTACTGTTTCAGCAAAATTATTACACTTTCCAGTTACCACAAATTAGGTTGTATAATTTTCAGAATTCTGTAGCTGATAGAGAAGGCTCAGAGCTCGTTGAAATATATTTGGATTTAAATTTAGAACATTATTAGACCTATCAGTCTCTTTTTCTCAAAGTTGGTTTTGTTGACATACAAACTAAATTTGGTCCTAACTCAAAACAAAGAATATACAAGAGTAGTCATTTTCTCAAAACAGTATTTAGATGAAAGAAAAAATCAAAATAAGGGTGAAAAAAACAAAATAAAAAACAAGAATACAACAATCAGAAATTAGTAATAAGTCCGAGGCCTGAACCCTATACCCTATATGGTAATTTGTAGAGGTGGTACTAATAGTTCTTTCTCTGTATATCTGATACCTCTCATATCTCTCCTGTCTATATAAAGCCACCCTCCCCCCTTCTTTTCTGTTCACCTCCACCTTCTTTCTCCTTCACTCGCCACCTCCTTTCTTTTCCACCACCTACCTGTTCTTGCTTACCTCTATACCTTTTTCAAAAATCAGAAAAATAAAATAAAAATAAAAATAAAATAAAATAAAAATAAAAATAAAAACACTAATCATGATAATAACTACAACTATAACAATAATAATAATAACAACAATAGTAATAACAACAACAACAACAACAACAACAACAACAACAACAACAACAACAATAACAATTATAATAAGAATAATAAGAATAACTCTAATAAGAATAATAATAACAACAACTGCAGCAACAACAACAATAACAATAACAGTTACTATAACAAATACTACAACAATTACTACAATAATTCCCATAATAATTACAATAATAATTACTAAAATAAATACTACAACAATTACTACAATAACAATTACTATAATAAATACTATAATAATTACTACAATAACAATTATTATAACAAATACTACAACAATTACTACAAT